GCGTGCGTGCGTGCGTGCGTGTGGAAGGCGCTTGATCTCGAGGGCTGCTTTGGGGAGAGCGTGAGCGCTCGCGTGGCTTGGACGTTTTGGCGGTGCTGGGCTGGGTGATCAAGGGACGGCCTCGGTGAGGGCTGGGTGGCACGCGTGGGCAGGGGGCTCGTGGGCAGCGTTTCTCGCGATCAGTGAATTAAAACGCTTAAGCCCCTTTGGAAGGTGCGCTCTGGACCCCCTTCTCAGGGTGCGCGATGCCAAGGGCTTGGATGGGAGGCCGTCCAGGGACCCTGCCCGTGCTGCTCGGAGTTGCGCAACAGCAGAAAAAGAGGGCGCCGCGTTTTGGGGTTTTGTAATGTATATATTGGAAAGTTTTCTTGCAGGATTTTTGATGTGCATTCGATGCTCTTGCAAACACACTTCCCCATGGCAGCTGATAAATTAACGGAAGCAAAATTAGGGAGAGTTATTGTCGTAAGTTACTGATGTTACTTGATGATTTATTACAACTTTCTCCTGCGGCAATCAGTTGGACTGTTGGCGGGTCCGCGTGAGATAAGAAAACAATTTGGAATATCTGTGGTGGACATAAAAAATAGAGATAAAATAAAATCCTTACTGAAGAAATTTTAACAAGATAAAAACAATGCAAATATTAGAAAAGAAACAAAGAAGATAAGGAGGAATAGTGAGGAGTAAATAAGGAAGTAATAAATAAGGAAGAAATAGTAAATAAGGAAGAATAGTAAGAAAGAAAACAGAAAAGAATAGAAAAGAAAAAGAAACTATTATAAAGAAGCAGCTTTTTGACAGCGGTTATGAATGCCTTTATATTTCACCCTCTCTCTCTAAATTACATCGGTCAAAAAATGAAAATCTCAATGGCAATAAAAAGTAACGGGTGAAAAAAAAGTGAGGTATGTTTGCTGTCCTGTCATTTCAGCTGATTTGGGCTGGTTTAAAACAAAAGAAAAAAGAAAAACCAAGTAGCTTAGTCTTTGGATGGGAGACCACCAGAAAATGTTGGTTTGTCTGCAGAAGACGACAGTGGATGTCTCCAGGAATCAAGTTCGACTCAAGGCAGACTTGGTCTTGTGCTGCAGGCATCCAAACTTTTATGGAACTGACCTGAGCCGTTCTTGCATTCCTCCTTCCCCAGTTTACAGGCACATGTTTGTCTGTCACAGCTAATTGTTCAGATATCTGAGGATTCCAGCCAGCCACGGTTTCTGCTGCAGCGAATCTGTTCAGACGGCCGGAGGGTCCTTGCTGCGTCGGCTGCAGCAGCCTCACGAGAGCGCTCTCCCGGGAATTTGTTACTCCCTTTCACGGAGTTTGCTGGGGCTCATAAGTCCTCTAAAAGTTTTATGAGCCGGGGGCCAAAGGCACACATACCAGCCTTCCACAACCTGATGGCTCCCAGGGGTATGGGTGCCCCAGATCCCAGAATCCCTTGGGTTTACTCGGGGAATTCTGGGAGCTGCAGTCCCAACACACTTGGAAGATGCCAAGGGCGCAGTTGGGGGAGGGCTGGCATTTCGGAATGAGACCGTACACCCAGGACGCCTCTCGGCCTCCTCGGATGAAGTTAACTCTTTCTAAACTTCCTCTCGCCAGGTGGGAAGAGGAGAAACGGGACGATGGTGTCAAATGGCATCAGCTGCAGCATCGAGGGCCCTACTTCGCACCGCCCTACGAGCCTCTGCCAAGCTCCGTCAAGTTCTACTACAATGGTGGGTGGCCATCTCTGGATTTGCACCCGAGGCGGAGGAGAGGCTTCCCCTGAGCCTTCGCAGGCAGGGGGAGGGAAGCGCCCTTCCCCTCGGCTCCGACCCATGCCCCGATCACCAGGTGCCCCCCCTGCTCTGTTGCAGGCAGGTCTGTGAAGCTCAGCCGGGCGGCTGAGGAAGTGGCAACGTTTTTCGCCAAGATGCTGGACCACGAGTACGCAAGCAAGAAGATTTTCCGGGACAACTTTTTCTGTGACTGGATAGAGGTATCCGCCACTGCCAGCTGTTTGGGAGATTTGCCTTTCTAATTCTGTAATTGCGTTTACAGAAATGGCAAAAAAAAAAAATAATAATAAAGAAGGCAGAACGTTGGATGGTTGCAACTGACGGATAGGAAGACGAGATCTCTGGGGATATCCCTGTTGGTGTTGTATAGATCTGTATCTTTTGTCCACACTTCTTAAAGTGGCTTCGCTGGCTGGGGCATTCTGGGGGTTGAAGTCCAGACTTCTTAAAGTTGTCAAGGTTGAGAAATACTGGTTTAGATGGCATCTTGTTGGTGATACCTTATTTTCTAGCTCGAATGCAGCTTTGGCACTTAGACTGCCTCCTTCTTTTCACACGTAGGAGATGACTCCGGAGGAAAGGAAGAAAATCAAAGACCTGAGGAAGTGTGATTTCAGTGAGATCCATAAGTATTTTGTGGAGAAGCATGACGCCCAGAAGGCTTTGCCCAAGGAGGAGAAACAGGTTCAGACGCTATTGACGTTGGTAGAACCTCAGGTCTAGAGGGTTGCTGAAACTCAGAGGACCTTCTGTCTGAAGTTCGTTTCTGATTGGCTGCCTGACACCTAGGTTTGGTGGCTCGAGCCCTGCAGATGTTCCCAGCACGGGGGTGTCTGACAAGCATCAAAGAAAGTCCCCCAGTGAAGCCCTTCTCGAATAGAGATGACCCCCTACCTCCAAATTTGCCCAGCACAGCAATGTTTTGGCCCCTGGACTACCTTTTTGCCTATCAGAATAGCCTGCACTTTAGTTCCTTTTCTTCTTTCTTTAAAATAATTTTTATTGACGGTTTTAAAAAGAATAAAAGATAATGCAAACCAAATTCAGAAGAGAGAGAGAGACAGAGAAAATGAAAAGAAAAAGAATAGAAAGGGCAAGGAAAGAAAAAAAAGAGATTAAAGAAAAAAGAAAAGAGAAATAGTTAAATAAATGATTTCCGATCTTCATCACAACAAGTACAGGCAAACTTAGTATTTCTTCCCCGCTAATAACATTGCATGCATCTATCTCTTCTTTCCATAGCCCATCCCTCACCCATTCGCAAATCCATAAATCGTTAACCTTTCAGTCCGGTTGTCAGCAAAAAGTCTGTAAAGGGGTTCCAGAACTTATCAAACTTTATCTTGTTTTAATCCTGGTCAAACAAATCAACTTTAAATTCCTCGCTTTTGCTTCTAACAATCTTAGTCCATTCAAATGCTGTCGTAGGTTTGATCTTCCTTCTTTCCTTCCTTTCTTTTTCCCATCTCAGGTTTTCAAGGCTTTAGCAACCCTCTTTTGTAAATCCATCAAGAAGTTGTTATCCAGGTCATTATCCTGGCTTGTCATTTGTATTTCCACTTTAACTGCCATCTCTATCTCGTAATCCACAATTTCTTTATTTTCTAGTAAATCTGCATAACCTTGTTTCACCTCTTCATCCTGTAGGTCTTTCAAAGCACTTTCTTTCACAACTTTCCTTTCTTCTTTTGTAAATAACACATTCATATAAGTAAATATTATTTCTGCCATTGTAGCTACAAGTCTCTGTCCCCATTCTCCAAAAGTGTCTTGAAATGACTCAAATTTCACAGCATTATCTGTCATTTTGTACAATCCTAGTTCCTTTTCATCTCTATCCAGACCAGGGTATTTTTCCTTTTTATCCTGTGAAGAAATAATTTATTTTTGTGTATCTTTTTGATAGAAGTTGAAAGAGGAGGCAGAAAAAATCCAAGAGGAATATGGTTACTGCATAATTGATGGGCACCGGGAGAAGATTGGGAACTTCAAGACTGAACCGCCAGGTCTATTTCGGGGCCGTGGGGATCACCCCAAAATGGGAATGCTGAAGAAGAGGATAATGCCAGAAGATGTCATCATAAATTGTAGCAAGTGGGTCTTGAAATGTGTAACGACATGTCTATGGCAGTGTTTCTCACCCTTGCCAACTAGAAGATGGTTGGACTTCTCTCCCCTTGGCTGGCTGGGGAATCCTGGGAGTTGAAGTCCACCCATCTTCAAGTTGCCAAGGTTGAGAAACACTGGGCTATGGGTGTGATGTGTCTCAGCACTGGATCGCAAAATGCTAAGGATAAGAGATAGATGAGGAGAGGAGAAATGGGAAATTTGACAGTGAGGAACCCAATGTTCTCACCCTCCTCCTCCTTTTTTAAAAATTCTGTCTGTTTTTGTTTTGCTAATGGGAAGAACAAAGGGAAGGGGCAGAAGAGAATAGTCAGGAATAGCTCAGCCATTTTTGCTGCGTTCTGATGATTTGCGTAGCAGAAGTTTTCATAGAAGGCCACAGCATGAAAGAAGCCCCAGCAGGTCTGCAAAGCCAAAATAGAAAAGAACCACCATTTACAACTACTAACATAGGGTGGAGAGTTTTATGGAAGGGGAGGAAGAACTTAAGGGCCCCTTTCTCTCTTCCTTTAAATAGAACTTAGATAAGTGGGGTCTCCACCATGCCTGAAAGATCCTCTTGCTCTCCTGCTTGCTTTTTAAACTTTTTCCCTTTTTCCCCCTTCTTTCTTCTCCCTCCCAGAGATTCAAAGGTCCCCCAGCCCCCGCCAGGCCACAAGTGGAAAGAAATCAGGTGCGACAATACAGTCACCTGGCTGGCATCGTGGACAGAGAACATCCAGGGCTCCATCAAATATATCATGTTGAACCCCAGTTCCAAGTTAAAGGTGAGGCCCATTGTTCCCTTTGGGGTTGCTTTCTCAATACCGGTTGCAGGTTGAATAATGCATTTCTTATAGCTCTGTTAGAAGGTCGCAGCCAAGCAACAAGTGATGCTTTATTGCGACGAAAGCGTTCGTGAGCCAGTTGGAGGTAAATGTCTCCAAATCCTAGAATTAGAAGAGGCTCCTGTAGCCACACGGTTAATTCGCTGTTCAGTGCAGGAGACCTGCAACGTGAAACCCCCCCAGATGGCTGTCTGGCTTCTCTGCTTGAAACCTGAAGAGGGGAATCCCACCATTTTCTGGGTTATTGACTCTGCTGATGAGATGCTCTTCTTGAGAACATGTTATTCCACATCCTCAGACTGGAGCTGGAGAGAGCAAGCATTGATGTTCTTAGATGACATCCTTTGGG